GTTCTCGAAGAAGCGGCCAGACTGCCCGGGCTCCACGGCTATAATACAACTTGGAATGCTTTATTTGGTTTTTTCGTCTATTTTTGTTCCTTATGAACGCGTCTCCAAGATTTTTATGATTCAAAATAGAGGTAATGTGCTAGTAGTGTTACTGTGAAAACTGCTATGTCATAAATTATGATTTAGCAAAATGCTACATCTCTTTACTCCGCTTTTTTATAGCCTTAGTTATGGTTCATCAAAACGCTGCTTTATTTCCGGATTTCAAATTTAGTAACAAAAATCGCTAAAACAGTGTGAAAATGCGTTTTTCTACGATTTACAAAGCGCTACTTACCTTCCTGATAGCAAATTTATTAAGGAAAACCTGAAAAAACGGTACGACATTGGCGTTTTTGCGATTTACAAAACGCTACGCCGTTTCCGCGTATCAAATTTAGTGAACAAAATCCGAAAAATCGTTCAATCAGAGCGAACATGACGATTTTCAAATTTTACGAGCTTTCCAAAGGATTCTCCAACTTCTAGACATTTACTAACCTCGCTGAAACTACGAAGAATTCCCCCATTACAATCCATCATTGGTCAGTAGCCACTCTACAAGAATGCAAAACTCGCCGAATATCTACCCAACGCAACCCCCCGGGGTGCAACCGAACCCTTCTACCCTCCCCAAGTTCCTAAGTGATGTTCGCTGTTTCATCGGTAAGGGCCCCTACGGCTTCTTCTCTTCTTCAGCTTCTTCTAGAGCAAGGGGGTTTTGAGCATCAGCATGAGGATCGGGTGCCCCGGTTGGTCGGTCTGGCATGGATCGACTTACCCTTTACAGCGAGGAGCCTCGGACGATGAAGGGGGGAAAGAGGCGGATCCCGTCACAGCTCCCAACCGGCAAACGGCTCAAACGGCCTTCTCCTTCCTATCACTTTGCTGCTTTGCCGGGGGACCCAGCCTTTCTTCGTTTCTGCCTCTGGGTTCAAGCTTTATACTTACTTTTATTTTGGTTTTATCCCTATTTGGTTACTTTTATAATCTTATAAAACGTTAATTTATACTGATACGTTCTAGAAAAGTTTGAAACTATTATTGTAGGTGTCTAGAAGTTGTAACATTATCTGGCGCTTCAAAACCTTTCTTCTCTACCTGGCTTCGAGCTTTGTATACTTCTTTTTGGTTTCGTTTCATCCCTTTTTAGATTCTTTTATAGCATTACAGAGTTTAGTTACCATTTATATTTTCTATCCAACTTTTGAAATTATTGTTGCACGTTTTAGAAATCGTAAAAAATCTGAAGCTTCATAACTTTTCCGTTTGTTGAGCGTTTTTGTATAACCTATCCTACATTTCGGTCCCCAACTTTACGATCTTCTGAAATTTTTGAGCAAAGTCAGATTACGCGAAAAAGCTTTTCGTTTTCTTTGTTTTGCTAGATAAACTTCAAATTTTGGCTTTTACCCGAATAGGCTTATCTCGAATTCAAGCGCCGATTTTCTCTTTTATAACTTTTAAACCGAATGCTACAGCTCGATACTCTTTACTAACGACATAAGCCGCGCCTTCCCATAAGCACCACTACTACAGCTGCGCTACCCCGCTACTTTTTATGATCCATACACACCAGCGTAAAACTAGCCAACTGCCTCCGCTTACACACCCCATCCTTCCAACTTTTACACACATCCCATCTCTTGTACTCCTTTGTACGAACCGATCAAAATCGTGCTCCCCAATTTTTCACACGCAACTTCCAAATCACCCCCTGAGAATTTACGGTCTCTCAAACGGTCCCATGCCCTTTTCGGAAGCTCTATATCGAGGAAATCCCTTCCCCTCCCTCACCTTCCTTCCGAATCACCAGATAAGATATAAAGATTAACCAGACGGGGCCTCCCATTTACGCAAAACGGTGGCTCATATCTATCAATTCTACGCGTTGTCGTTGCTTTTTCAAGGATCACGCGTGGGACCCCGATCTATTTTAGCTCTATACCTCTGGCGGGTGGGCCGGTCACCTCAACCCATTCCATCCATCCCCCCCCCTCGATATCGTAAGCTTGGATGTGTCCTGAGCTCTCAACAAATAATGATGGCGGCTTGACATGGGAAGAGCCGAGGGCGCGAGAGCCCCAGACAATTTTTAGGCTAGCCAGATCGGCGCGCGCGGGGGTGGTCCAAAATTTTTGGGTGCGAGGCGGCGTACTTTTGGCATTTTTCGATTTAGGGTTGCCTTTATTGATACTTGATAATGAATATTGATATCGAAAAGCTAGGATAGAGACTTTAGAAACTACTTCCGAAAGTGTACGATGTGATTTATCTTAGTTTTGTTTTCTTGGTTCTGGAAAATCACTATTTCGATCGAAATCGTTAACCTTTAGCAACCATTTTCCAACGCCTAGCCTTTGTTTACATTTTATGAATACTCGAAAAACATCCTTTTATCGAAAATTTTCTTGAAAATGAACTTTATAAACCCTTTTCAAACGCGGATTTTTCTAAATTTGCCCTAATTTTATTACGACTTACAATTCATTTTTGCTAGGAAAAGGCTAGAAAGGTCCTCTAGAAGCCATTTTCCGTTTGAAACCTTCAAAATCTTCAACTAAACATAGAAAACCCTCTATTTATCATTTTCTAGGGCTAAAAATACGAACCCGACTCTCCAAATTCCACCTAACCTAATCTATATCCTTTTTTCAGAACCCAATCCCAACCTATCCATCCTGCAATCCACCATCCCAGCTTTTCCCCCCGGCTTTTCCCATCCCCCAAGGGGCGACCCCAGGCTTTTCGTGAGAAAAAAAAAGACAGGCTGTTCGGCAGGAGCGACGACGGCCGAGACAGGCGTTTGCCACAATCATGCAATTGTCGCACCACCTGACGCTATCGCGGGGACCCCGGCTGAACTTCCTGCCTCCTCTTTCCTCCTCTACATATTGTCCCAGATGGCTTCTCCTCCTCTTCCTCAACAACCCGCCACTTCTCAAACACTTCCGCTACCTTGTTGTCGTGTCAGGGGCGGCTTTTTAAAGGGATTGTCGGGGAAGGGGTATGTTTTTCGCTTGATTTTTGGGGCTAGCTTTAGGTGAAGCTTCAATTTTGGCTCTCAAGACTCTAGATAGCGGCTTCCCTATCTGACATTTCAAAACTCGTGCCTTTCCCTGGCGACCTGGCGACCCCGATCAGACATTTCCCCCAGCTGACTCTGACTGACTATTTTTGTCCTTCCACCCCACTGGCCGGAAGCTATACAGTGATGAAACCTTTTCCCCCGCGTCAATTCCGCCCAGATTAAAACCCCCCATCTACGTCAGCACTTATCATTTGGCTTTTCAAAACCACAACTTTTGATAGGAGCTTTGATAACCCGATTTTGCCTTATAAACTAAACAAACTTCTCCAAACTTTTCACCTCTCCTTGCACCCCCCGGTATCTTTGCCACTTTTACGGGCGCGAGCAAGCTGAACCTTGCTTCGTTCACCTTAGTCACGAGGGCCCCCATTTCGGGCAAGGGGGGTTTGACGCGCACGGCCGTCTACCGCTCATTTATGACCTTTTATCAGGGGACCAAAAGACTGGCGGCAACGCTTTGACAAATTCCAATCAATTCTGTTCCTCGAAAATTCGCGCTATCGATTCGATCAGGCTGGTAAGTTGTTGAATGACGAATGTGTTCCGATTCGGCCAATTTGGCGGGGTCGACAGAACTGTAATCAGCCAAATGCGTCACAAACCCCGGTTAAGCCATGTGATTTAGACCCCCAAAATGTCAGCCCCTTATCCGAACCATTCCGCTTCCTGCCATTTTCAACTAGGCTACATTCTCGCCTTTCTACTAATTGATTAGACCCTCGGTATGTCACCAGATACTATCGATCTCCAACAAAAGATTTTCCCTTTTCGTTAAAAAGAATTAAATTGAACGGCGTTCCCCTCTTCTAATTGAAGACCTCCGTTTCAAAATGTCCCCTACAATTCGCGAAAAATAGGCTAGACATCCCCGGAGCCCCATTATTAGCGTGAGTGGCAGGTGGCGTAGTAGGGCCTCCCACCAAGCTTCTTCTCCTCCCAATTCAATATCCCCTTAGCTACCCGGGGCTTCCCGTTTTAGAATCTAACAGCGACCCGTCGAGACATATTCCATTTTTCAAAACGATGTGAATTTTTGCGAGTTATAGTAGTTTTCGGGCCGCGCAGGGCGCTATTAGAGGATTTGTGAATCTAAGGCGTCTATTATAAGCTTCTCCAATTCTAAATAAACAATTTTATTACAATTTTAAAAAGTTTATTTCAATTTTTGGTCTAACCAGTTCTTCGAAGGACTGACACGCCAACGAGAGGCGCCAAACGACAGGGGGAAGCCAAAGGCCTGCGGCCAACATTTTTCTTTTTCGGGCTTTCCCGTTTTTCAACTGTTTTGGCTTGTTCTATAGTTATTGTAAGTTTTTTATTTCTATTTCGTTATTTTTAGCAATATCTTGGGTAAACGCGCATTCTAGCACCACCCCGCGACAGCAATACTTTTGGCTTCCGCCCATGTTTCCTCCCCCCTTATCTCAAAGCTAATCAATACCCCAGCACTTCGAGAGTTTCCCCACAAATTGAGGCCAGACTCCCCGCGATGCCCCAAGCGCACATTTGAGTTGCGCGCCCTACCGTAGCCAGTTGCCCTGCGGTTCTAATGCTGACGATTCGGAAAGGTTGTAGTTGCTAGCCTAACCCCAATAGCCCCACGCAGTGTGGCCCTTGCCCACCCCTCAATGCCTATTCCTTCTTATCTCTCAGCCATTTCCACCCTCACTACCCAAGATAGCATCCAAAATGAACCCTAAATCCACTTTCCCCAGTTTCGGCCCATTTTTCTGACGTGCCGCGAAAAATTCGTGTCAATATTGCATATCGATTTCCGATTTTGGCGTCCTCCGGTTTCGTCATGCTATTTTCTTTTTTTCAGATCCCAAATAGACCGGATTACACTGGGTAAAACTTCATTGGCGTTGTGATGGAGGACGCGCACGCCAAGAACTCGGAAGAGGTGTGTCTTGCTTTTGAAATATTTTGCCCTTTGCCTTTGGCCTTGACAAAACTTTTCTGACTTTTCGCTTGCTTGCGCATTCTCAAAAACGGCTAATTAGGTTTTAGAGATGTTCGACATCGATTTACAAGCAATTTCTTGTTTTCAGGTCTTGAAGTTCTTCGGGACTGGCCAAGACGGTTTATCAGAAGACCAGGTCGACAAGCTCCGTGAGAAATATGGCCCTAACGGTAATTTTTAATCTCTTGTGTTTCCTTTCGTCAAAACTATAACCGTCTGTCTCGCGCCTTACGATAAAGACAAGCCAGTAGCCTTTTCTATTTGCTTTTTTTGGGCGGCTGATCGGCTGCCGGGTAAAAGTGATGGGAAGTGGATCTTGGAGTGCGTCATGTTGTGTTTGATTAAAAGAAGGCTGGATGCATTGACAGGGGCGATCGCTCTCTATTTGTTCACCCACACGGCTTTCCGAAATTAACGACGGGGGAAAATGGTGATGGGATGAAAATAAATTTGCGATTTTAGAATTGCCTGCTGAGGAGGGCAAGACGATCTGGGAGCTGATTGTTGAGCAATTCGAAGATTTGCTGGTCCGAATTCTCCTGCTCGCTGCCATCATTTCATTCGTAAGCTATCTGGAATTTGCGCAACTATTTCCATCTAGGTCCTCGCTCTTTTTGAAGAGCATGAAGACCAAACTGCCGCCGTCACAGCCTTTGTTGAACCATTCGTCATCTTGCTTATCCTTATTGCCAACGCCACTGTCGGAGTCTGGCAAGAAAGGAATGCCGAATCTGCGATCGAAGCCCTCAAGGAGTATGAACCCGAAATGGCCAAGGTCGTCCGAGCCGGCAAGCACGGCATCCAGATGATTCGAGCAAGGGAATTGGTGCCTGGCGACTTAGTTGAAGTATCAGGTTGGTTTTTAAACAATGTCACTGATGTTGGTGTCCGGCATCGACACTGACGATTGTTTTGAAAGACAAATGATGATTTTCTTTTTAGTTGGTGACAAGATCCCAGCCGATCTTCGACTCGTCAAGATCTATTCCACCACCATCCGTATCGATCAATCTATCCTCACTGGTGAATCCGTCTCCGTCATCAAGCACACCGATGCCGTCCCCGACCCTCGCGCCGTCAACCAGGACAAGAAGAACTGCCTGTTCTCTGGAACCAACGTCGCATCCGGAAAGGCCCGCGGTATCGTCTTCGGCACTGGCTTGAGCACCGAAATCGGAAAGATCCGTACCGAAATGTGCGAGACCGAATCTGACAAGACCCCGCTGCAGCAAAAGCTCGACGAGTTCGGAGAGCAGCTGTCCAAGGTTATCTCCATCATTTGCATTGCTGTCTGGGCCATCAACATCGGACACTTCAACGACCCTGCCCATGGTGGATCGTGGCTCAAGGGCGCCATTTACTACTTCAAGATTGCCGTTGCCCTGGCTGTCGCTGCTATCCCTGAAGGTATATTTTTCTCTAAAACTGCGTGTTTCCGCTTTGTATACCTGTAATGCTGCTCTGAAACTGAAACCCGAATTTCTTATCAATTCAAGAGGATATTTGGTTTTTTAGGTCTTCCGGCTGTCATCACCACCTGCCTTGCCCTCGGAACTCGTCGTATGGCCAAAGAAGAACGCCATCGTCCGTTCTCTGCCCTCCGTCGAGACCCTTGGTTGCACATCCGTCATCTGCTCTGACAAGACCGGAACCCTGACCACCAACCAAATGTCCGTCTCCAAGATGTTCGTCGTTGCCAATGCCGCCGGTGAAAACATCAACTTCACCGAATTCACCATCTCTGGCTCCACCTACGAACCTTCCGGCAAGGTCTACCAGAACGGCCGCGAGGTTTGTGCAATATCTTGTGAGCTTCAATCATGACTTTTAGATCAACCCCGCTAGCAACGAATTCGAGGCACTCACCGAAATGGCCACCATCTGCTCCATGTGCAACGATTCGGCTGTTGATTACAACGAGGTAAAAAAAATCGTGATAACAAAGTTTACGACGTTCTTTCAGACGAAGCGTGCCTACGAAAAGGTCGGTGAAGCCACTGAGACTGCCCTGGTCGTGTTGGCCGAGAAGATGAACGTCTACGGCACCTCCAAGCAAGGCCTGAGCCCTCGTGATCTCGGAAACGTCTGCAACCGTGTCATCCAGCAGAAGTGGAGGAAGGAGTTCACCCTCGAATTCTCCCGTGATCGCAAGTCGATGTCTTCTTACTGCCTGCCCACGTCCGGCGGATCTGGCGCCAAGATGTTCGTCAAGGGAGCCCCTGAGGGAGTGCTCGGCCGCTGCACACACGTTCGCGTCAACGGCGAGAAGGTTAATAATCTATACTATACACTGTCGGACCTAATTTTGGCTCCACCCTATTTTTCGAGGTTTTCTCGTAGAGGAACTGATCGGCGCGTGCGTACAATTTGAGGCGTATCACAATGCCCATGCTTACAATATGAGGCGTATCACAATAAAAAAACATCCGGTGAAGCCAAAATTATGTCCGGCAGCGTATATCTGTAAAAATTGTTCTATTATCACCTTCAACGTTGTTTTTAGGTACCGATGACCCAGTCGATGATGCAGAAGATTGTCGATCAGTGCATCCAGTACGGTACTGGCCGTGATACTCTTCGTTGCTTGGCCCTTGGAACCATCGATGCCCCAGTTTCCCACTCGAGCATGAACCTCGAAGACGCTACCCAGTTCGTGAAGTATGAGCGTGACATCACCTTCGTCGGTGTTGTTGGCATGTTGGACCCGCCCAGGACTGAGGTATCTTTTCGGCCGCTATTAGGTTTTTTGGATCTCTCCAATACAACGCATGTGTTTTTTGTAACGTGTATTTCGGCCTCTTCCTTCATAGAATGTACAATCAATGAATGCTTTAGGTCATGGATTCGATCAAGAACTGCCGTCACGCCGGAATCCGTGTCATCATGATCACCGGTGACAACAAGAACACCGCCGAGGCGATTGGCCGTCGCATTGGACTCTTCGGAGAGGATGAGGACACCACCGGAAAGTCGTACACCGGACGCGAATTCGACGATCTGCCCCCGGAGCAGCAATCTGATGCTTGCCGTCGTGCAAAGCTGTTCGCCCGTGTCGAGCCTGCCCACAAGTCCAAGATCGTCGAGTACCTCCAGAGCCAGGGCGAGATCACCGCCATGACTGGTGACGGTGTCAACGATGCCCCCGCCTTGAAGAAGGCCGAGATTGGTATCTCCATGGGGTCAGTTTATTGTTACTAACTTGAATATCTGAATGGTGCCACGGTTTTGCGGCTGATCTCGTTTTTACTTATCCATCGCCTTGGAATCTCCTGCCCAGGCATACGTGGCGGAGTCTGAAGCGTTGGGTGCAAAATGTGGAAGCCCTTTTTGCCAACTGGTTTAGACGCAGATCAATTCCGCAAAACTTGAGATGCTTTTCTGAATCAAAATTATCGAGCACATTTTACCCCATTCTTTCCAGATCCGGAACCGCTGTCGCCAAGTCCGCTTCCGAGATGGTGTTGGCTGACGACAACTTCAGCTCCATCGTCTCTGCCGTTGAGGAAGGACGTGCCATCTACAACAACATGAAGCAGTTCATCCGTTACCTCATCTCTTCCAACGTCGGAGAAGTCGTCTCCATCTTTATGGTCGCCGCTCTTGGTATCCCCGAGGCCTTGATCCCCGTCCAGCTCCTCTGGGTATGAGCTCCTGCTTTTACAATCACTGAATTTGTTTAGGTCAACCTTGTCACTGACGGTCTTCCGGCCACCGCCCTCGGCTTCAACCCGCCCGACCTTGACATCATGGACCGCCCGCCCCGATCTGCCACCGAGGGCCTCATCTCCAAGTGGCTCTTCTTCCGTTATCTGGCTGTCGGAAGTAAGCACTGAATTGCCCTTTTTATATGTTGTGTTTAGCCTATGTCGGTATTGCCACGGTTGGAGCCTCCATGTGGTGGTTCTTGCTGTACGAGGATGGACCCCAGATCTCCTACTACCAGGTAGGCCTTTTCACATAGTTTCATTAAACTTGTTTCTTTTTAGGTCACCCACTGGATGCGATGCGAGATTGAGCCTGAGAACTTTGCCGACTTGGACTGCGCCGTTTTCGAGGACAACCACCCGAACGCGATGGCCCTGTCTGTGCTTGTCACGATCGAGATGTTGAACGCCATCAACTCGTTAGTGATCTCGGTTTGGCACCTAATTATTTTTAGGCTGTCTGAGAATCAGTCGATCCTGGTGATGCCCCCGTGGACGAACATCTGGTTGTGCGGAGCCATCGCTCTTTCGATGTCGCTTCACTTCGTCATTCTCTACGTCGACATCCTCGCCACTATCTTCCAGGTATTAAATTTTTCAAATTCTCATTTATCGTCCTTTTTCAGATCACGCCTTTGAACGTGGTTGAATGGGTAGCGGTGCTCAAGATTTCTCTGCCGGTGTTGTTGCTCGATGAGATTCTGAAGTTCATCGCCCGCAACTACATCGACGGTGGGTTGCTGGACGAAAGTGGCGAATCTGTCCGCAAGCCCAAGTCAACGGTTGCCCAAATTCGGGCGGCCCTAGGCTTTGTGGCACTTTTGTTGCTCACATGCGCGTACTTCGCCTGGATGTTCGGCGGCCACGCGGAACAGTTCGCCCACGCCTTCGCGGGCCCGCTCGTCGACCCCTCTGTCCCTCATGGCGGCGAACTCTAATCGTTTCCCCATTCCCCCAATGTTGCTCAGTGTGCATGGGATCCTGTGGTTCCGCTTGTGTAAGACCGCTAAAATTACTATCTATCTAAACACATACGTTTACTAAATTCTTGCTCCGCAATGTTTCTAGGCATCAATTTCGTTTTTGACAAAATAGATATAATTTTGCGGGTCTTACCCTCGTGGCCCCTGGAGTCCACTGCAAATCCAGTCGAACCCCTTGAATGTGATACCCTGATTTCATCACTCGCTCTCACACAACGTTTTTGGGCAACCTCATTCTTGTTAACCGCTGTTCTGTGTTTCCTTTTTTCGGGATGGTTCATTCGGGAGTGCCGTGGGTTCTTCATTTTCCGCCCTTACCAATTGTCCCAGTCTTTCCAGACGCCTGTCAAATTTTAAAATTCGCCAGCCGGCTAAATTATTTGTGGCTTTCCCTTTTCCCCCCTGGAATACGCCCTCTACGGGTTTAGATGGAACTTTTTGTTGCGGGTGGCCTGCCATTCATTTGGCGCCCATCCGTAAGTCTCTTTTTCTCTCGAGGTCTGATTGATCTAACCGTTCCTGGCTATCTATATGTGAATAATTATCCTCCGCCCCCCTCTGTCCCCCCACCGTAAGGTTTTTATCGCGGTAAAATGTGATTGTTTTTTTTCTTCAGTGTATTCTCTAATAAATTTAGTCGTTTTTTAATGACCTCTATCACTCAAACCTGGAATACGTTCTCCCCAAATTAACAGCAAGCAACCCGCTGCAAGTTTTTCGTGGGTTTTATCAAGGGCGTCGAGACCATCGTCGAGGTGAGTGGTCGATCAGCTGTTGTGTCATGATGTCGTGTTCGTCCTCTGGCTTCACTGTCCTAATTTCCACGCGTCCTTTCCGTCGTTTGGATGAGAGTAGTACCTATGCACGATCATATACTAATGTTTTAGTTACGTATTAGTCAGTCGCACCTGGCTTTTAGCCAATATGCCGGTATTGAAGTCCGAATGGCTTTTTGGATTTGATTGATTTGATTTCAAGGAAATCTATTTTCCCAATAGCCCAAAAAGTCTTCCGACTTTCAGCCGCGCGCACCAAGCACCATAGTGCCTCGCAAGCTTCACCACCAAATCAAATGCATTGCTTTTTAGTTGCGCCAAAGGACAAGAGGGATTAAATTTTCTTCGAAACATCATCATTCTGAAAAGAAAACTACGCCAGCGAAGAACAACAACGCCGAACGGAGGAATACCCCCTACATCACCAAACCAAATTCCCAGCGTCTCGTTTTCTCCCTTTCTTTCGAGGTTTTTTTTTGCTTCTCGACATATTGTGTCACACACGTGTAACCGTAGTGCCTAGATAGGGGTCAGCTATAGCCATAAGCTATCCAAAAGACGATATTTTGTTGCCTTACTCAATCATTTGACACGGATAATGTCCCCCGCCCCGGATTTTTAAATTTTCTTTGCAAGAAAAAGCCCTACCACTCCGCCCAATTGAAGCATAGTCTATCACCCACCGTTTTGCAATTTTTTTTGGATTATATTCCTGGTTCTCAAGCGCATCCGCCTCAATGAATTTGTCTCTCTATTTCTCTATAATCTCTTTACTGCTCCCCTATTTTGCACTACACTATACAGTACCCCCGATATTGAACCGCATAGGCTATTCATATGTACCGCTACACAAAAAAAACAAGACAAGAATCATTATACCCTTACATCGAGTCCTTTTTGAGTTTAGTTTTGAGCCAGTTCTGGTGAACCTTCCCCGCCCTCCCCACCCTCAAAAGCTGCTGTCCTTTGGCTTCGTCCCAGCATCAGCGAGCCGTCCGCCCATTTCTTTCTCTCTATCTCTACTCTCTCTCTTGCTCTCGCTCACTCTCTCTAGGCTTTTCCGAATTTGGCGACCGACCACTTCTCAACTTCTAGCGCCCCACCTCCATCCATTTTGGGCCCAGGGCTCCCTTCCTAAAAGCCCCCGTCCTCCATCACGAACTCGTCCTCCCCATTGTCGCCCCCTCCTCTTTTTACTCTCGTTCTCTCGGTTATCCAATGGGTGTGCCAATCTTGATAAAAAGTTTTTAAATGTTGCGAATGAACTACACATTATTGTGCCACTAACTATCTTTTCTGGCGTTAATTTATAGGTTTTCAGTTTCTTCCGCATCCTTTCCTTATTTTTAGCGCTCTTAAAACCAAAAAATACGCTGAATTCTTTTGTGGGATAAAAACTTTTGCGCAAGATCCAATTGTTCTAATTATATAGAGAAGTAGTGTTTCCAAAATGATATTGTAAAACGACCTCCGCGCGGCGCGTCTCATTCGGGTTGTGCGGGGTTGCGTAATTGCCAAGAAATGGTTGTGCAAAAAGAAACGATTTCGGTCGAGTGCAAAAGGTTGAAGCTCACGCTCAATCATCCGCCTCGTATATAACGGGAAGCGCCTATTCACGCCGGATTAAAGAGGCGCACACGTAGTATTGTAGAGGATTCGCTAAAACCCTTATATTCTTTTCGTTTTTAGTTCTATTTTTTTCGATGTTGAAATATAACCTGTCTTTTATTTCACCCCTACAGCACAATCGTTTGATCTTGAGGTTCAGCAACTTGAGAACGACTTCATGACGTTGAACTCAAGGTGACTCTCCTGGGCGCAAAAAAGTACAGCCTCCTTCTCTTCCTTTTAAGCTAAAATCCTTGCAAATTTGGCATGTCTTCTCCGTTATCAAGCTGTACCCCTTCCTATTTGGCTATTGATTACACGCTGGCTGGGCATCGCCCTCGCCGATTTTTCCAACGGCGACAGCCCGGTGTCGTTTCTCCATCCTTCCCCCATCAGCTATTTACTTTACGGGCTTTTGGCCAAATAATCGAGGGAGAATTGGTAGAGTTGGATTGGATCTGTTGCAACCGTGTCACTTTTCGCCTAAAAACTCGGCTTCCATTTGTACATTTGTAGAAATTTTGGCTTTCCAGAGTTGTGCTTCGTATGGATTTTTCAGTTTTGTGTTGTGTTCTCGATGCAGAGCAGCTAATAAGCTACAATTGATACACAAAACGTAATTTTCGGCTAAAATCTCGCCTACAATTTGTAGAAATTTTGGACTTTCAGGGTTCTACCCTTCGATTCATCTCGATTTTTGGCATTTCTATAGTCTTTCCGGTGTAGAGCAGCCCCAAATTTGCTAGACGAAATGAAAACTGACATTTTGTGTAAAAAATTTGCTACAGTGTTTAGAAATTTTGGATTTCAGGGTTTTAGCTCGGGATTCATCTCTTTTTTTTTAGCTTGCCTGTTGTTTTCTCGATGTAGAACAGCTCAAAAGCTACAAAATGCTTCGTATAACGTACTTTTGACCCACAAAATCAGCTCCGACGTGGAGAAAATTTTGATTTCCAGGTCTCTAGCTCCAGCTTCATCTCCATTTTAGCTTTTCTATTGTTTTGACGATGTAGAGCAGCTCAATAGCCAGAAATTCATACACAAGACTTGTCTTTTCCTTTCTAAGAATTGGCGGAAGTTTATAGAAATTTCGGATTTTCGAGGTTCTACCTCTCGATTTATGTAGATTTTGGCTTTTATAGTCTTCTCCTTGTAGGGCAGCCGAAGAGCTACAAAATAAACATAGAACCTACTTTCAGCCTAAAAACTTTGCTTTAATTTGTCGAAATTTGGATCTTGTTTAGGGGGTTTGCCTCATCATTCATATAGATTTTAGTCCTTCTCAATTGTTTTCTCGATCTAGACCAGCTCAAAAGCTACAAAATGATACAAAAAAAACGTCCATCCTCGTGTCTTCATTTCCTAAAAGTTTCTTTAGTTCAAATCGAACGTGTCATTCCAATTCTACTCAAGACGGGGGATGTTTCATCGGCCGTCCGGGCCGGGGGGGCTTTTGTTACGAGTGGGGCTTCTCCTCTGAACCGCGAGCAATTATATTCGGGGGTGCGCCATGACAACGTTGCATCGGCATTTTCTACCAACCCCAGCAGCCGGACGGCTAGCCCCAACCAACCAACCAGCCATATTCAGCTATTCCTCCTCCTCCTCTTCCACCAGCCCATACCAACCGATCGAATGCAAATAAGCCCTTTAGTCGTCGAAATCGGGCGGGGGCAAAAACCCCGCTGGCTTCTCCCCGGATCGATCTCCTGCCATTCAACGGAAATCCACTAAAAAAATGGTCTTTCAATAGACAAAGGCAAACTTTTTTCCGCTTTCAAGGTATTTTCGATTCTTTATCGTAAATTCGTTTTATTCTTACGATCTTTTGCACGAAAATTGCTACAAAAACTTCGTATTGCTATTTTGGAGACGACGAAACCAATTTTTTTCCTCGAGAAAACGATTTCTCAGTACGTTTTTGGCGATTGTATTTTGTTACTTTTCGATTCTTTAGTGTAATATAGTTTTTATTGTGATAAGCTTTTACGTAGATTTCGCTTTAACGTTTTTTATTGCTATTTTGGACATGATGAATCTAATTTCTCGACAAAAACTATTCCCCAAAATTTTTGGAACGATTGCTTCTTGCTATTTTGGTTCGACTATAGTACTCAACTCTTGGAAATTAATTTATTGTTACGATCTCTCTAAATAGTTTCCGCTTTTCGCGTTTTTCTGCTATTTTCGACACGGCGAATCGACTTTCCCCGACAAAAACTCTGTCTCGGCACGTTGTCAATGACAAATTGAGCCAAAATATCTTTCGGAAATGTTTCAATTCTTTACTCTAAACTTTTATAACCCCATTTTCCTAGAATCGACTTTTTAGAGCATATTTTACCTTTGAAAAATCCCAAAAAATTATCATAAAAAGCGCAACTGACCGACTGACACAATCCTTTCTCTCCTCTTCCTCTCCTCCAGGTCAAGATAATCTGCGGCCTTTTTTATGTTTAGACGGGATGGGCGTATGACCTTCATTGTTGGGGGACTTCCTTTTCTTTTTAGCTTTTTTGACCTTGCTGCTCTCCTCCGGAGCGGGTGCTAATAGTGGATGGGGAGGTCCATCTTCTTGACCCTTTTTTGGCTTTCTCCCCCCGGTCTAAACCTTTTGACAAAATGGTCCCAACAACATTTGCTTGTTGCCAGCCGTCCCGCCAGAGTCTCACACTTTTATAACTCCTTTCCCACAATGATCTTGCGTCGATCATTCTTTGCATCGACTTTGCTACTCTGTGAACTTTCGCTTTGTTGCAGAAATTTACTTTTTTGATTTAGGGAAGCGAAAGCTGGATGAACAGAACGCTTCTCCGCTACATAGCGCCCAGACGGAAGGAAGGGGTGATAAATATAGTAAGTTTCACCCCAATTTTCAAAAATTTATCTCGAATTTCAGATCCTCGTGCTACTCTTCATCTTTGGACTCGTCCAATATTATAACACCAAGTCTTCCGTTAACAAAGCAGACCCAAATTTGGTAAGAAACCTACAAATTTACAATTCTGAATTTCAGCAAGCCCGAGGCATCCGATATCAACGGCCAAACTATGCGGGCCACCGAGAAGGTGCCGGCGAGAACGGACGAGCGGTCCTCTTGACCGGAGACGAAAAAGAAGCTGGCGAAAAGGACATGAAGGAATGGTTTATGAATGTGCATGCCAGGTATTCGCTCATTCCGCCCTTCAAATTGAGCCTGACCTTTTCAGCGATAAGATCTCGTTAGATCGAAGTTTGCCGGACGTGAGACGGGAAGAGTGCCGGAGATTGACCTATGATTATGACAATCTGCCGGATGCATCGGTACGTTTGAAAAGTATTTTAAATTTCTGCTATTTTAGGTAGTGATCATCTTCACGGATGAAGCCTGGACGCCGTTGATGCGAACGGTGCATTCCGTAGTCAACAGGAGCCCAAGTAAACTGCTCAAAGAAGTGATTTTGCTAGATGATAACTCGCAGCGAGGTTTGGAAATGGAAATTTTTTAAACCTTTTTGTTTTAGAAGAACTAAAGGCAAATTTGGACGAGTATGTGACGCGTTTTGACGGGCTCGTCAAGGTGATTAGAAGCGACGTAAGGCTCGGCTTGATTCGCGCGAAATTATTAGGAGGTAAAAGGCTAAAAATACGAAAAATGTTACAATTTTAGGAAAACACGCAACAGGCGAGATTGTGGTTTTTCTCGATTCGCATTGTGAGGCTACAAAAGGATGGTAGGAAGCGAAGAAAATTGAAAATCTGGTTTTTTCAGGCTTGAGCCGATCGCTGCTCGAATCAAGGAGAAGCCGACAGCCGTTGTTTGTCCGATTATCGACTATATTGACGCGAAAACGATGGCATATTCAGGTAAGACTAATCTATTAGTTTTTTAGCGCCTTTTTCGGTTAAAATTCTTGTAAAGAGTGCTATTTTTTACTTTCCCAGGCGATCCCTATGCGACATCCGTCGGCGGCTTCTCCTGGGCCCTCCATTTCACCTGGGAGGGAATGCCGGAAGTCGAGAAAAATCGCAGAACATCGGATACACAGGAGATCCGGTAAGTGCGGAACCCTGGTTCCTATTTATTGCCCTTTTTATAGTTCTCCAACAATGGCCGGCGGCCTGCTCGCTGCAAATCGGAATTACTTCTTCGAAGTGGGCGGCTACGACGAGGAGATGGACATTTGGGGCGGAGAAAATCTGGAGATTTCTTTTAGAGTTAGTTTAATTTTAAATTTAATTAATCTATTAATTTTTCAGGTTTGGATGTGCGGCGGTTCGATCGAATTTCTGCCATGCTCTCATGTTGGTCACATTTTCCGGGCTGGCCATCCGTATAACATGACCGGGCGCGGAGGTAGGTGAAACGAGAAAAAAAGCTACTTAAAAATTAGAGTTTACTTTTAAATAAGATTTTTCAAATTAAAGCTACAAGCTTATTTAAAATTTAAAACAAATTTTTAAAGTTAAAACAGCTAAATCCGTTCAGGAAATAAAGATGTGCATGGCACAAATTCGAAGCGTTTGGCTGAAGTCTGGATGGACGACTACAAGCGCTTATACTACTTACACCGCCCGGATCTAAAAGTGAATACATTCCCAAAATATAGAAACCAGCTACGATTTAGCACAAAGACGTCGGCGAGCTGAAATCGCGACGGGAATTGAGGGAACGATTGAACTGCCAGTCCTTCAAGTGGTACCTCGACAACATCATCCCCGGGAAATTCATCCTGGATGAAGATGTGCATTCCTACGGAAATGTTTGTTTGTATTTTGTAGCTTTAATTTGGTTTTTAGGCATTTACACGAGTGGGCGGGATCGAGATGTGCCTGGACACGCTGCAGCGGGATGAGAAAATGCCCCAATTGTTGGGAATTTATCACTGCCAATCGGGTGGCAGTTCGGCACAGGTTTGAATTTAATTAAAAAGAAAGTAAGGCTTAAATTCATATCATAATTAGACAGAAAAATAGCAAAAAAATGACTTCAGGTTTTCTCATACTCCAAGCAAAACCACCTCCGCCGTGAAAACAATTGCGCCCGCGTGGAAAAGGGCGGCCGTGAATCAACGGGACGGGTCAGAATGCAGCCCTGCTCCTCTGGCTCGGCCTCCACTTGGACTGTTAAAGTGAGCATGAGGTCGTTTTTCAAAAAATCATTTTTTAGGAAGGACAAATCACGGAGGACGGATCTGGCCTTTGCCTAACGACAAAGGGGCTCAAGGCCGGCGATGACGTCATTGTTGCAGCGTACGTTTTTCAGCACTTTTCAAAATTTTACCTTTTTCTTTAGTTGCGACAAAATGGACCCCCATCAATTGTGGACGTTCCGTAACCCATAAGCCGGCTTCTCCCTCTTGTTCTAGTCAGTCTATCCCAAGTTTTATTACCAAAAAACTGCTACACATTCCGAAGCAATACTAGTCTCACTGTTTCTTTCTTGCGGGTTCCCCTCTCCGGATGCACTTATTTATTATTATACCTTCTTATATTGTGATAATTTTCTAATAACTGGGTTTTTATATGGCGTTTCTGTGATAGAGAAAATATGGGGTCACATTTATTGTTGATTTGATAAATTATTCGGTTTATTTAGAGTTTACAAAGAGATACGAAATAACACGGATCTTTCGCATTATCTGGGGGGAGATCGCGGAGGTTTTCTAAACGATTTTTACTATTCCTAAAAGTAAAAACTTTGCAAATATTTCTTAAAAATACAAAAATATAGATCTTTCGACAAACACATCGCGGTTTTTAACCAAAATTTCCACTTTTTGAAGAATTTTGAAAATTTTTAGATAGCTTTTCTAGTTGAAGTATAGTACTTCCTATAAACTTACTAGGCATTTCTAGGCTTCTTTTTGTTTTCTAGAATAGGTGAGGCTAAAGGTCAGTCACATTCTGTTTTCTAGGAAAATTCTGCCCCCCCGATAACGCAAAAGAACCGATCACGCACTCGTACTGATTACAGCTTTTTTAAAGCTAAACACTTTTCCTCAAGCTTCACCTGTGCGCCCTCAAGTTCAAAAGGTTACTGCCCCCTACAGACTACAGCTGCCTGTGCTAGCAGCGGGATTTTGGCTGGGGGAAGGGCGGTTGTGGTCTATAGAACAGGCGGGCTGTTTCGGGGGTGGGCTAGCAGGCACGGCGTGCGGTCGCGTTGCGTCTCAAGCCATCTCTTGGCGTCGTTTTTTGAGCGGCTCGTGCACATGGGGGGACGCCATCCCCCCCCAAGAGGACGCGGGGCCACCAACACCTTACTCAACATTTCCTCGGCTTCACCCTAAAGCCCGCGTATTTTGAAAGATTTTTAACCGTAAATAGGTAGTACCTGCTTTGACCTTTGCCCGTCATCGAGGACCTCATAGCTTCACGCCTCTGGGAAACCTGCGAAAGCGCTCTCGAACAACAATCGAAAAATCGATGTTTTGCAGGTTTGGCGGTTTTTATGAAAATTTGGGTTGGCTACTAGCTCCTGAAAGCTCAGCAAATTCATTATTACTCATCAGATATTAGGAATTAAAGAATAGAATTCGATACCCTACGAAACGTAGTAGATTTTTTCTATCCCTACGTCTTCTAGCGATTCCACCTCGTTTATTTCCGCTTTTTCGACGATTTTGGGTACTTACAAGGCTTTTTAAAAGCTTGTTCTTTGCGTATTAGGGAATATAATTGTATGCCTTACGAAACGTAGTAGATTTTATTCTGTCCCTGCATTTTTTAGCGATTCTACCTCGTTCATTACCGCTTTTTCGGCGATTGTGGATACTTAAAAACCCATTTTAACAATTTTTGTTTAGGTATCCATCCATTTTTCCCCTCCATTTCATCACATTGCATAATTTGCAACCTAGCACCCGCCGCGCCCCCGGAAATTTGCAAAAACCCCCTACTTTTTCGAACAAACCCCCCGACCAGGTGCTTTTTCAAGCGGAAATTGCTGGTTGCTTCTTGGTGTTGGAGACGTGACAAAATTGGGCGCGACCAGGCGGGGCTTCAGAAATCCGCAACAGGCTGTTTTGACTCTCCTCCTCCCCCGCACCGGGAATTGGATTCATCTCTCTACGAATTTTTCTTATTATCATTCTGTGTTTGAAAATCAACTTGTCTCCATGTCTTTTTTAGTATTTTTAAGTTTTTCGAACCTATAACCCCCAAATTTTTGCAGGTACACTTCGAGCTGGGGTCGTTTACCGCTTTAGGAAGCTGAGATGCTTGGGCCAGAAATTCCGCGCCGAAAAACGAGACGCCTTGCCGCGATCAACGCTCAGAGGAAAAACATGATTCTATCAGCCATGAACAACAACTCGCCGCCACCGCTCCACAGAAGGTTGGTGCTCAAACGCTGGTGCTCAAGGCATCGGTGATCAGCCCTGGAAAGGCACAAACATTATCCCTGTTCTCGCGGATCAGGGGTTCTAATTTATTTTGCACTTGAAACCTATAGAGGACAGCGCCGGATTATCCCCCCTTCCCCTGAAAAGTGCACATCCAGAAAGAATTCATCTGGAAACACCTGGAAAATGGCAATTCCTATCGCTAGTATCTAATGAGCCCGTTCAGAAAACGCGTCCTGGAAGACTCGAACCAAAATCAGAAGATCACCAACTTCTTCCCGACGCGTAAGAGCAGCCGGAAGACCGGAAAGCAGCTGGAGGAAGAGGAGAATCGCCATCTCAGGGACGCCATCTATTCCTGCTGCAACGAAAAGCTTTTAGATGTCTACAGTTGCCCGGTAAGTTCGGTTCTAGGTCAATTCGACCCTGCTGAGTTCAAAATCATCACAATCATAACTAAAAATGGCATTTAAATGGTGAAAAATAAATTTTGAAATAAGGCCGGCCCAAAATTGAAAATTTTCGTAACTTTTCCTTGTAGATTAAAGGCCGTGGCATCCGCGCCGGGACCTCCTTCAAGAAGAACGAGTTCGTCGTCGAGTATCGAGGTAGAAACCTAAAAAACCGCTCAGCTTCATCCCCGAAATTCAGGTGACATGATTGACTATCAAGAAGCGAAAGAACGGGAGAAAGAATACGCGCTCAACCCGATGCTTGGCTCTTACATGTATTTCTTCGAATACAAGGTAGGATGAGAAATATTTAAAGAAATACTTAGTATGATAAAGAATAGAAAAATAGTTATTTCCGCTTTAGAACAAGAAATGGTGCATTGACGCTACTGGTGAATCAAAGTATAAAGGCCGCTTGATAAACCACTCGTACTTGAAGCCGAATTTGAGGACCAAGGTAGAAGACTTTCCTTGCGAGTTGAATCCTATGTTCTTCTACAGGTCGTTGAAGTCGGCGGGCGGCATCACCTGATCCTCGTCGCCAAGCGGGACATCATGGAGGGGGAAGAGCTGCTGTACGACTACGGTGACCGTGATCCGCAAAATATCGCCCATTCGCCGTGGCTGGTCGAGTCCTAACCACGCGTTTGTACAAAATTTACTTATTTACCGCGGAAAGTGCTAGCTGAAAAACTGTAGCATGAAAAATTGACCAAAAATCGTGATTTTGGCGCTACAGTAGGACAGTAGATAGCACTTTTTCGCAAGAACCCATCGACACATTGCTTTTCTTACGAAGATGCCCTGATCTCACTTGTTTTTTTTTGTCGCGTTGTTTCTTATGTACAGCAAAAATGGCCAATTTGATCTGAAGGATTGTCGCCCCGAAAGATGCCTTACAATCTGTACCCTCCCCCACGCTTGGCCTTTCTCTATCAGGGCCTTCTTTTTTTTTGCAAATCCAGGTTACACCGACCCATCGGACGAATATATACTCAAGGCCCCCCGTACCCTTCCTCAATACGTCCTTCCAAATGTCTCTTCGCTTTCCCTTTCACTACCAATTACACCTCTAAAGTGCTTTCCAGATTTTAGCAAGTACCCCTCATCCTCCAGTACCCTCACTTTTGTTTTTTTTTGTACCCCCGAAACGGATGCTAACTCATATACTGCGCCTTGACACCCCACCGACTAACTACTTCCGCCCAAAAAACGGATAGGCAGATTTGCCTCGTGATACGCTGGATTTTGGCTCAGATATTGTTTATTTTTGTTATCTTGTGACGTGAAAGCGATTGTGGTTTCTCGAAAAGTATGCAATTCGGGCAATTCTCTCTGCAAAAAGGTTCTGGGCTGTTAGCGCGGAGAAGGCACTTTTTGTAACGGTTTTTGATTGCTAGAAAGTTACAGAAAAACTATTAAAATGTAAAAAATTCCAAAATTTGACCTATTTTGGTCATTTTTCTTTCATTTTTGACCTAAAGTGACAAATTTCTATGCATTTTATATTGTTTAGATCTAAAAACTATGTAAAGTTCTTTTTATAACTCAAAATTCGAAAATGTTGGCCTTTTTTGGTCATTTTTCATAAGTTTTTGACAAAAAGACACAAATTTTCGAAAAATTTTAGATTTTTTGTGTCTAAAGACTATGCAAAATCTTATGAAAATCGTCTACATTTTGCTTAGGCACCGTGGAGAATTTGGGAAATGGGAATTGCCCCCCTAACAGTCCAGGACCTGCAAAATCACGCCTTGCCTCCACGTCACTCGTTAACAATTACTGCCTTACCTCCGTGTCCCCAACCCCTGGTATTTATTTCTGTATATATATCCACGCTCCGTGCTCATATCTGACCTACCGAAATACCCCAAATCTACCCTACAAAACTACTTGCCTCGAAATGAACATCAGTACCCTCCCACCCCCTCACCGAAATCACTCTTAACCCGGACCCTAGGCATTTGCGGTGATGAAACCAAGTTTACCCCATTTTTAACGTGGCCTTTTTTGTCTCTAAAACAATCGAAAGCTTGCAATCGACAACAACTCCATCCAATTCTACCCGATTTTTAATTTGCCGATCTCCCCCTCAAATAATCCCGTTTTCTCAACATTCAACCATTCACGACTTTAACTCACTGAAATCCCCAACCGCTTTCAGAAGTGCCCTCCCAATCCTCATCATCATCACCCTCCTCATCATCGTTTTTGTACGTTGTCGTGTTGTACTGCCTTTCCGATATTGCGGATTATACCAAAACAGAAACGATTTGGCCTTGTTCATTCTATTATCTTCCAATTTTCCTTGATTATTTTTGGTTTGAGTGCGGTTTAACTCCCCCCCCCCTTTTGTTATCTCGACTGCCTGTTATTGTACAGGTGTGTAAAGTATACCAAAATGTTCGCCTTGTTCTGGCGAGTATTTTGGTATACTTTACAAGCCGGTGGGATCACGGGAAGCCGAGATACGGTCTGTGTAAACTGCACTCAACCCTATTTTTCCATTGACCATTCCATATCGGTCGCGCGGGAATTGGGAGGAAAAGATAGCCTGTGGGCATTTGTGAAGTGCCGCTGACTGCCAGGTGGTCAACCGCTAATCCCCGTGCCTATAATTCTCATTTGCCTACCCTCCATATGCAATCCCAATGCCTTCAAAACACCAATTTCTTACAAGTATAAACGATATTCATGTAAAACCCCTCGTTTACTAAACATTGGAAATACATACCAAAACATCTCTCACTGCCACTAGCTACAACTTTGGGCGCTAATTCGGAAGGGGCCACTTTGGTTTCCCCAAAACTTGCGTAGTTTTTCATTCTGACTCCGAATAACTACATTGTGAAGCGTCAAAGCTTGATTATGTCTTAGAAAATTCGTTTGAAACACTTTACTTTTACTTTCACACTTGATTCTCGCTCTTTTCGGCGCCGTTTTTCTGCTATATAACGTATTCGGAAACTTAAGTCGGGTATAGTCATTGTCAGGCTTGCCTATAGCTGTGACTCAAAACCCTGTCAAAAGCTATTTCCGGATGTTTTGCCGTTTCATCCGATTATTAGTACACCAGAGTTGCAAAAGACGTCAGTTGGAGCGCGGCGTACTTTTCACCCTGCCAAGTCAACAGGTTTAGATTGGTTTTTCTAATACAAAAGAAAGTTTCCAAGCTTCGTAATGTGGTTATTCGGAATCAGCGCGAAAAACTACGCCAGAATCAATCCATTTTTTCATTTGGAGCACAAAGTTGACTTTTCAGAGTGCTGATCAAAAGTTCAGATAAGCTTTTTCATATCCCGCCTATTTTCAGATGAGCGACGATGTGATTTTGCATTTGGTAGTCGTTGGCTTTCATCACAAAAAGGGTAGCCAGGTGAGAATTTATAAGCTAAAATGACTACCAAATCAGATCGAATACGTCTTTCCACCATTCGAGAAGGAAGAGCCGACCAAATTGCCCCAAGAATGGTCGAATCTTCCGTCATTAGCCCTACCAGACGGTGCTCATAATATTGTCAGCGGTATAATACGCTTTAAAACGATACGCTCTTTGTTTTAGATGTAGTATATTTCCTTCTCCCCTCAAGAGACGATCCGGCCAAGGTTGTCTACGGAATTTCTTGTTATCGGCAAATCGAATCGGCGGTAAGTTGCTGATAAAACCTCTTGATTTTGATCCTGTTTCAGCACCTCGTTGCCAAAACCGACGATGTGACGAGAAACACCGTCCTGAAAAGCGTCTGTGTCATCTCGACAGTCCCGCTGTTTGGCTGCTTGAAGCTGAAAATCAGCCTCCTCACCGAGGCTTACTTCAACGAGCGCGACTTTTCACAGGTATGTGTATAGGCCTTCTCTAAATCAAGCCATTTTTAGATTGACGTCCTCGCCCAAATGTACCAAAATTTGCTAGATGTCTATGAGCGAGAACATATTGCTGGCGATGCGGCGGTGATGGGTTCGTTGCTGAAATAGCTTCTCTATAGTGATTCTTTAGATATTTCCACCCGAGAACTCGTCCAACGCTTTCGCCATTCTATAATAGTGCTATTTAAACTTCTATTGCTTGAAAAACGGGTAAGGATTTACCACGGTAACGAATTCTCCCAATTTAGGTAATATTCAGTGCGTTTCCGGTCCAGCTTCTCGGTGATACGATGCTAGCGCTTGCTTCTTTATGTCCAAGTAGGTCGCTAAAAATCGTTCTGATAAATTTCGGTCTCAAGGAGTTGTTGAAGAAGGTTTGCTATATTCTGGAACTCCCCCACACCAGGAGCCAGAGCCCGAGAAAGTGCAAGAGGAGGAAGAGGAGCCGAAAATTGTAGGTTTACAACAGAAAAATGAAAAAAAAACGTAAATACATAAAACGTAAAAAAAACGTTTAGGAAGTCGGTGTTGAAGCTTCTACCTCCCAACCAGAATTGACAGACCCACTCGCTGACGTTAAAGATGGCTTTGGCTTCCCCTTGAGTATCTTCACAACGGTAAGCTTCAAACTCACGCTATTTTACTATTTTCTAGGGAAATTTGTTCCATCCCTACGCCAGTATCAACTTTCTCGACACCATCCGCTCGACGGCGATCCGCGGCTACACCATCGGCGTCACAAATCAAGTATTTCTGCAGCGGAAGGGCATTGCTGATGTTGTAATCACGGTATTTTACAAAAATCGTATTCAAATCAGCTTCAGATTGACGACAAGAACTTCCCCAACATCGATATACGGGATCCAGAACTCCGTCGTGTTGTAAGTGGCCTCGCTTGCTTCAGATAACCCAATTTTCAGCTCAAACTGACGAATCTCGACGCCAGATTTGGCGACTATCTGCTGAAATCGGTGGAGCAGAATTACCTCGAAGAAAGCGGTACCTATTTCCCTAAAAACTTTATTTCCTTCAATTTTCAGCTTGGCAAGGCAGTGACGAATGGGTACGACTCCAATTCAAGAACTATCTGATTTCGCTAGCATTTGCCGCTCGATCTGGCAATTTGGTAAGTTTTAGTTATTGACTAGATTACAAAATTCAGGAAAAACACACAGATTTCTTCCCACCGTTCGTGGCGGCGTGGATGGAAACGAATAACTATCGAATACTAGCCCAATGCACACCCGAGTTATCAGCAGGCGAAGAAGGGTAAGTAATGCGCTGTTAGAAATACACAAAAGTCGAAAAACCTTACAAAATCTTGGTTTAATCAACGGAATATAGACATGTCGGCGCCACTCTACCGCCTCGTGAAATAGGCATGATGATTGGAAATGCGATCAAAAGCAGTAAGTGGCGAGGATCGGAAATGGAAACATAAATCTTTAGATCCAAAATTAAATTCGTTTGTGAGCTGGTTCAAAGCGGCGGCCACGAGCGCTGCATCGCAAATGTCTGCTGCTGGCGAAGTAAGTGGCGAAACACATCAAAAATACAAAGTTTCAGATGCCGAACTCTAATTCCAACTTTTATTTGGAAGAGGCGCAAGAAGCAAAAGAAATTGTCGAAAAGCCAGCAGCTACAACATCAGAACCCGAACAAAAGCCGTAGCCTTTATTTACCCTTATAAGTTTGTCATTTGCCATTTTCTATGCATTTCCCTCCATCTGCTACACTGAGCTTTTGAGCTTTTATAACCTCGGCCATTCTTCTACGAAATGATTCTCGTCCTTGAACCGGTGATATTGCTCTGTCCATATCTTTCACCCTAAATCGCGCTCCGTCTCTACCTAATTTCTATTTTCAAACTTATTATTCCACTCACTTACTCGCGATGAAATGTCGATGTAACAATAAAATTTATTCAACTAAGCGGGGCGCAAGGCGCCAAAAGAATAGGCAATCATGAGAACAATAAGTGAAGAATTTAAAGTGAACAACGATCAAAGTAAACGGCGTCGGCAATTTTGAGCACCGCAGCAGCAGGCGATACGCATCGGCTTGGCGACGTCGGTTTCATAATTGTAGTCCATGCGTAGCTCCTGAAATGTGAGAATCAGATATTTGGTTTAGACGGTCGGAAGGTGAGAAAAACGAAAACAGACAAACCTCGCCGGCTTTGATGAAGCTTTTCGTGTAAAAGGAGATTGACGGCAGGCGCAAGTCGTGCGTCTCGATGAACGTGAATTGGGTCCGCACGTTCGGATCGCAGCAGTGGTTGAGGAACCTGAAAAAAGGGGTGATTCATCGGAAAAAACTGCAGAATCTGCCAGTATATCGAAAATTAAAGATAGGTAAGATAGTAAACGCCGCCTCCAACCCTCACCTGCCAATATTTCCGCGTTCCTTGGCATCCGTGATGAAAAGAAAATCGTCGCCAAAATATTTTTCGATTCGATCGCGATCCCAGCCACGTACGGCGTCGGCTAAAACAAGTATACTTAAAAACGTATCCAAGCTACCTGGAGCCGAAGCTGGCGCGACGTCAGCTGGCTGTTCAGGCTGCTCCGGCGGCACGCTTCCGTCAATTCTTTGTCGTTTCCTGCCGCCTCCTTCTGGAGAATTGTCGCCCGATTGATAACCATCCGAGCTAAAAAAGGGGTTAGTAAAATAACGCGTTAAAATAAAAACGTTAGTGGAAATGGTACTTTCCCATTATCGAGGGGGCGAAACTTTTTGTATAAGTCTAGTTTTAATGTATAGTTTTAGTAGCGTTTTCAGCAATACGTAACTATATTTCAACAAGAAAAACTATCTAAATACTTTAAAAAATCAAAAATTTGGTAAAAAATCGACCATTTTCCGTCGAAAATCGGTATTTTTGATATTTTTTAATATAATTTGGTGATGTTTTCGCATTTAATAATAGTAAAAAACCGTTTAGAAACGCATCGCACTATTTATATATTTGAAAAATTAGATCCTAAGAAAATATTTTGTCCCCTCCCCCCGCTAATGAGAAAGAACCGAGTACAGTAGCGTAACCAAATCCCTACTCGACGGAAGGCGCATCATCTGCACGTCCATCCGCTTCTTGGCCCCCCAAATCGGCCATCCCGAGGTCTTCTAGGAAATCGATGCCTCCGTTCAGCTTCAAGTCATCGACAGTGTCGATCAAGTCCAGATCCGCGTAGTACTCGTCGCCCCGTTTCAACTCCTCGGCCAGCGTGTCGCTGAGGATGGCGCCGGCGTAGTTGCAAATAAACGTTCTAAATTTGCCTAACAGTTGAATTGAATGCGCTAACCCCTCGGGCAAGTCGCACAGCGTCCGCACTCCCCATCCGCATTCCGCCGTCCGGAACAGGTGCAGCGGCACCATGATCGGCTGCTGGGCGACTCGATTGTGACATCTACCAAATTAAAATACATTAATCTAATGATTTATGATCAACATTTTCCTGGAGCAACCGCAAAACTGGTTGCACTCGTAGATGCCCGAGTAGATGACGTCGTAGAGTCGACGGTGGTCATAGCCGCGATTTTTTGGGTCTTGCGGTCGAATTCCGGCCGCCAGTCGCTCCACAGATTCTTGCGTCAAAATTCGGCACTCGCAGCGTTCCGAATCCGCGCAGTCGCCTGGAATTTGGGAACTTGTCACCTACGAAAAGCTTACCAGTACACGTACATCCGCTGCACCATTCCCTATTTAGCGTCGTGATGACAACGGCGTCATTTTCAGCAAAGCGCTCGCCCGAGTATTTGATCTGCAAACAATGTGTTGCGGAAGCAAGAAAAGAAAGTCTTTTGATTGAATTACGCGATGCCTGTACGGCGCACCCCTTTGCACTACGCCCTGTGTGCGCCCTCCCCGTCCCCCGGCACAACCCCATTTCTGTGCGTGTCTTTTTTCACTCTTCCACTCCGCCCGTCTTGTCTGGCTGCTTGTATTATTTTAGGCTATTGCCGTTATCGTAAATAAATACTTTGTTCTCTCTTCTTTCGTCCAAATCAATTCAGGTGTCAAACGACTCTCTCGCAAGGTATCCCCTTGGATTGAGCCAGCATTCAAGAACTCACGCACACCCACACCTACAACAATTGGCGAGCAAGGATTCGAGCCCGAATTGAAGAATGGCCGACGACCCCGAGCTCAAGGACGTGCTCAAGCAGCTCGCCGCCGCGAACCAGCAGATGACCGCTGTCATGGTCGCCGGGCAAGAGCGAGAAGCCAAGCTCATGGCTGAGCTCGAGCGGATCCGCGCCGAGGTCCAAACGCACACGGACTCGGTTAGCGAAGATTCAAGCCAAAGCCAAAGGCCTCTGAATGCAGTCGAGTTGGGCGCTCTAGCCACTCGCATAAGTCGATTCGAGTATGACCCGTCCCAGGGGATTACGTTCGAAAAATGGCATGAGCGGTTCACAAACCTCATCGCCACCGAATCGCGCATCTCGGAGGAGAACAAAAGCATCTTGTTCTCGGGATGTTGGATGCCAAATCCTATGGCTTGCTGGCGGATCATGCTCGACCCAAAGAGCTGGCCTCCATCGCATACGACGACATCGTCAAGCATTTGACTGAGATGTTTGGAGAAAAGCTGTCGCTTTTCAGTCGACGTTTCCTCGCCTTTCGCGTAGCGAAAGAGCACGATGAGGATATGCGATCCTACGCCGCTCGCGTCAACAAACTATACGAGCAAGGTCGCGTCAAGGAAATGAAGGAAGATGAAGAAAAGTGTTTACTTTTCGTTGCTGGACTGTCAGACCAGGCACATCGCGACATCCGCAAGAAATTGATCCGTATTCTTGAGTCAAAGAATGACGTGAAACTGGATGATCTGCTGCGCGAGTGTGACCTGCAGACGAGCCTGAACATGGATGTTGTGGTCGAACAGCATGCCAATGTCAACCGTATCCAGCAGTCGGGATACCGAAAGACTTGGAACAAGGGCCCAAAGCCTACCTCTAGCAATGGTGGCCCAAAGCCTTGTGATACCAATGATCGGCCCCGTGGAGACAAGCGTAATGATGTGTGCCATCATTGTGGAAAGCGAGGACACTGGGCAAATGAGTGTCGCTCAGATTCTGGAAACCGTGGAGGTAATTTTTTCCAAGCAAGGAAAACAAAACCACCGGAACAAGGACTGGAAACCGAAGGTGAACCAGGTTGTGCAAATCAATGCTATTGATTCGACGCGCAAGGACGTCGAGATTTCAATCGGAAACAACCATTTCACGCTACAATTGGATACTGGCGCTGCAGTAACGATTATTGACGAGGCTGTGTGGCATCAGTTGAATCGCCCACCACTTACGCCGTCGGATATTCAACTACGAGCTGCCAACGGTAGTCGAATTGACGTGAAAGGACTGTTTGAAACCCGCTTTGAAGTGAAAGGCATTGAGGGACATGGCCGTTGCTTTGTCACCAAAGACATTCGGTTGATGGGGCTTGATTGGATCAATCAGCTGCCACAATTCGCATCCTGTTTCGATGAATTGTGTGTCAATAAGGTTCAAGTGAAGCAATCAAGGCTGGAAAAGGAACTTGTTGAAAAATACCCAAGTGTATTTACGGATGGTCTAGGCTTATGCACTGTTGCTAAGGCTGAATTGCAGCTAAAAGCCGATGCACAGCCAATTTTTCTGCCATTCCGACGTGTCGCATTCTCGATGGAATCAGCCATTGAAAAGGAAATTGAACGTCTCGTTGATTTGACTGTTTTGAAACCAGTCACTTACAGCGAATGGGCGGCTCCGGTCGTTCCAGTCAAGAAGAAGGACGGTTCATTGCGACTTTGCGGTGATTTTTCTACCGGCTTGAATGATGCGTTGCAAGATTACCATCATCCTCTTCCCACAGCGGAAGAAATTTTCACCAAGCTCAACGGTGGACAAGTGTTTTCCCAGATTGACTTGAAGGATGCTTATTTACAAGTCGAGGTTGAGGCTTCTAGCCAAGAATACCTGACAATCAACACACACAAGGGACTTTATCAGTATCAACGACTGATATTCGGTGTGAAAACAGCCCCCGGTATTTTCCAGAAAATTGTGGATAATTTGATCGCAGGCTTGGACGGTACCGCTGCCTACCTGGATGATCTGTTGATCACCGGCCGGAACCAGGAGGAGCATGACGACAGGGTACGTCAGTTGTTTGAGCGAATCGCAAAGTTCGGATTGCGCGTCAAAATGGAAAAGTGCACGTTCGGCCAGGCTTCGGTAAAGTATCTTGGCTTCATTCTGGATGCCCAAGGCCGAAGACCCGATGGCGAACGCACGGCTGCGATAGCAAATATGCCACGACCTACCTGCCTCAAAGAAGTTGAAAGCTTTTTGGGCATGGTTTCGTTCTACCAGTCTTTTATTCCTCGTATGCGACAGTTGCGCGCCCCGCTTGACGAGTTGAAGAGAAAAGACGCAAAGTTTCTCTGGCGTGAGGACTGCGAACGAGCGTTCCAGTCGCTCAAGGAAATTGTCATTTCCGATTTGTTACTCTGTCACTATGACGCCAAGTTGCCGATCGTCGTCGCCGCTGATGCCAGTGAGCAAGGCCTTGGGGCAGTCATTACCCACCGATTCGCTGATGGAACTGAAAAAGCAATCGCACATGCTAGCAGAGCATTGACTGTGGCAGAGAAGAACTATAGCCAGATTGAAAAAGAAGG